CAACTCTAAGATTCTATGAAAGGAGTCTTAGTCAATGACGAGCTATACACGAGCCAACAGTGTGATGCTCAGGCTGAAAAGACCAATGCCATTCTAGGCTGCATCAGTGGGAGAAGCCTGAGAGTCCCTGAAAGGGAACTGATATGACACTGTATCTCGGCTGGTTTTTTAATTGCTTTTAATGATAATTATTTAATGCAACTGTTTATTCTAACTTATTGAGCAATGTTTAGCAATGTCTTTTGTTTTAAATTTTTATGGTATATATGTGTATATATATATATACACACATATACATACATACATACATATACATACTATGTTGGAAGTCACCCTGAGTCCCCATGGGGAGATAGGGCGGGGTACAGATAAATTGTGGTTGTTGTTTGTAAAACCACAGACATGAGCCGTGTCATTTTTTAGGACATTCAATATTTAAAACTGTAGAGTGACCATTACTGGAGGTTACAGTCCCAAACAGGGCTGTTTGAATCACTCTTTTTTGGTGAGGGATGGGAGAGTTCAGTACATTTCCTATGTTAGTTCATGAATCCTTAGAGTTTTGAGTCAGATTAGTATAACTGTTCCCATTTTACAAATGGGATATGGGCAGAAGTCTGAATACAGGTGCAGTTATGTAACGGTCTATGCTTCAAACAAGATCAAAGACTTTGTGGAATACTGATTCCTCGGAGAGCTGTACTCATTGTATATTTCACAATAGAAATCCAATACATTCTGGGACTGAGCAAATTCATTGATCAAATCCCTCCTGCTTTGATTGCAAAAACGGTTGCCTTAGTCCATTAATCTGGAGAGCAGAAACTAACAAAAATCAATGAGATGCAACTTCAAACCTACCTTCCCCGTGATTATCAATCTTGCATCTCAGAACAGAGACTGGGGTGGATGATAAAGCTGGAGGTGAGACAAAACTGAGTGGAAGCAAGTGAAGTGTTGTGCCTTGTGTTGTTGTGTGTTAAAATACAATGTGTGCATTGTGTGCATGAAACAGAAGTGAGATCATAGTGGTCACTTCAGTGAATGATCTTTGTCTGAGCACTGACTTCTCCTGTCATTTTAATCCGCTGCAGGTAGGATCTTGAATGTGTATATAAGGGACTTTGCTATTAATGGCTGACAATGGGCCCGCCCAGACATTACCTTTATCCCAGGAGCTCCCACAGCAAATAGAACAGTGGCCAGACACTGTTCCCTGTAAAAGCGGAAGCAATTGCTTCAAACAGTAAAAAACATTAGATTTGCAGGTGCAGGAATATCCTGGTTCTGAGCTAAAAATCTGCATCTTCGACTGCCTGCCTGTCCTTGCACTAGGAAAGCATGGGATTTTTTTATCTTGGTTTCTTCCCTAGTTTCAAATGTCCGATCCTGATTGGTCGGTTCCGGCTGGATGTCCTGCGGCAGCCATCTTGAGGGCTGCAAAATTCCGGGACAAAGCAGGCAGTGTGGACTACGGAGTCAGACATCCTGAGACCTTCTCAAGGATCCCAGGTTTTTTTTTCTCCCTAATTAAAGCGTGCAATTTGGTGCTGTCTGGAACTGCTCAATGATGCACTGAAATACAAAAGGTTGGCAACACTCTTTTTGAATACTAACAGGAATTTTATTTACTCTTTTATAATTTTTGCTTTGGGGATTTCTATATCCACCCCACCGTACTCCACCCCTACTCCCTTTATGCCTTATTGCCTGGTTGATTTATCTCTTCTCACCATTGTTGAAAGCCAGATTGGTCAACAGTGTGATGTTCTACTACTGAAATCCGCTGTTTATTAATCCCAACACCTGTTCTTCTTTGTAAGTTACTTTAGTTGTTGAGTATGGTGGAAAGAAACCTATCGTTTCTTGGCTATACATCATGTTGTTCCTTCTTCTCTGTTTTTCCTAAATTGCATGGTGAATGTATTCCCTCGGAATTTGATCATAAACCAAAGATGGTCAGAGTGAGGAAGGGGAGAAAAGCTGACCACAGACCACCACCCTTCATACAGGTGGTGCTCCTGGTGTGTTAAAAACAATGGAAAGAAAAGTGTCCATTTGAAAAACCCTAGCCAGATAAACTAGTTGCTATGGCAGATTATTAAAGGGGAAGTTGTAGAAAGAACAGTGTGCCAACAGTAGTAATAAATTGGCCTTGAAGCCAGGCAAACGTCTGGACGCTTGATGAAAGCACCCTGGAATAAGTGATGTTACAGCTGACTTTGTCATTACCTGCTCTGTAATGTGAATCTGCTGAACTTGTAACACGCCTTATCGGAATCCAGTGCCATTTAGCCATCAACTTCTTCTTCAGCTTGGAACATACACCAAGGAACTTTGAATGCTGCTTTGGGAAGTGTGTATTTTCTCAGGTCCTGGAGAGATATCAGGAGATATCTAAGTTTCCCAAGGCATCAAAGAGTTTTTTAATGCCATGAACACTGGAAGTTAGTAGATCTCAAAGGTTCTTGCACATGGGTGCTGCTAATTATGCTGAATACGACCACACAATTCCTTTGCTGCAACAGCTCCAATATCTGCCAGTTTGTTTCCAGGCACAAAGTGTTTGGATATGACCTATAAAATACAAGATGACTCGTGCTATTTGGCAGGTCATTATCTCCCTAGCCCTGAGATCCTCAGGAGATGCCGTTCTCTCAGTTCCACCACCATTGTAACTACAGTTGGTTGGGATGCAAGAAAGGGCCTTCTCAGTGGTTGCCCCTCATCTCTGGAATTTCTTGCCTAACGAGGCCAGAATGGCCCCCTCTTTGTTGTCCTTCTGCCGACAGGCTAAAACCTTTTTATTCAGATTATAACTGATGTGTAAAGGTGTGATGTTGTGCTGGGGCATGTTACAGCCCAGCCACTGATCTGACACCTCGGCACTCAAAATAATGCTCGGACAACAAGGAAGCAGTCTACTGAGTTAAAGTGTATTGTAAAAAGAAGTGTAATATAGGAAAACCTAATTCAAAAATACATTCCAAAGTAAAAACTAGAAAAAGTATACATAAGTATACATAAAAGGCAGAAGTATGAATACATTCCAAAACTGGTTTCAAAGAACATTCCAAAATGCAGGTTATAGTTAAAATATTCTTGAAGCAGTAAACCACACAGATCACTATAGAAAGTAAAGCCAAAAACCCACAGAACTTAAGACTAAAAGCTATATCCAAAATGTGACTCTCCAATTCCAAACCAGGAAACATGACATGAAAGCAAGACCGAAAATCTCCTATCCTGGAGCTCATTAACACAGGATAATCTTCTTTTGAAAATACAAAGTTGCTCTCACAAAGAGCAACTCATGAAGCTGAATTAATAAACTAATTCATTTCCATGGGGACACTAAGAATCTACTACCTGACCTTTTTTGTTTATCTTTTAGATGTAGTGAGAACCTTAATTGCCTTTGCCTAGCAGTATCTCACCTTAACTGAAGGTGCTGGGATATAGGCAACAACCCAGCCTCTCTCTCCTCCCTTACATCATTCCCAGGATCAGGCTGAGCATACGGCTGCGTTTCATGGGAAACATTCTCACTACAATCACATTTGTCTGTTAAGCAATTCCCATAATCACAAGAAGAATGACCTTCTCCCCGAAGCACTACAGAAACAGTGGGCTCGATTTCAGATTCTACTTCAGTCCTCATCACCAAAGGGTCCCCCTCCTCTTCCTCAGACCAGGCCTCAACAGGGCATGCTGGGAAAGATAAATGGTTCACTCATAGTTATGTGTGCTCCTCCATCAGTGGGTCATTCCACAGAGACCTATTCGGAGAGGGGCAGTAGCTCACAAGCTAGACATATGTTTTGCACGTCACAGGTCCCATCTCTGGTATTCCCAGGCAGAGCTCAGAAACATTTCTTTCTGAAACCCCAGAGAGCTGTTATTGTGAAGATGGTATTTTTCATATAATTTTTATTGTGAAGATATGAGGAATGGAGAAAGGTACAAGAGTGGATGTAGAACAGGGACATTTTTAACATCTTACACCTTTCATCTTTTTCCATTGTTAACTCATACAAAAAAGGTTCCTATGATGTTAAAAAAAGGAAAAAAAGAGTGAACACTTCTTTTTAAATCTAAAACAGAAGGATAGAAAAGCGGAATTACGGTGCACTGAAACAAAGGAGATAGAAAAGTCGAGACAAGAAAAATAGAAAGCCCTAACTACCACTTCCTACCCTGTTTCTGCTATCTTTCTCAAAATCAAAAAAATCTGTCCATGAAGATAGTATTAAGCTTGATATACCCTTGGTTTGGCAAAGAATGAGGGAATAAGGGTGATGTGATTGTTGGACTAAAAATGAGAGAATCAGTGTTAGAGTGGGATTCCAGAAGATCGGGGTCCAAATACCTAATTGGCAACTGGAACCCACTAAGTGTCCTTGGGCAAATCATACTCCCTGTATAATTATGCTGTATTATATGAGTCTACACTGCCATATAATCCAGTTCAAAGCAAATAATCTGGATTTTATATGGCAGTGCAGAAGGGGGCTAGGTCTCTTTCAATTCTATGATGCTATGACATTTGGGCCTGCAGTGGATTGCCTATCCACTACAGGACCTAGTAGTGTGTGTTTGTGTGTGCTGAATCAGCTTGCTGCTTCGCACTGGGATGTGGTGGGCAAAATATCAGGCAGAAAGGAAAGGGTAGTATTTCTTTATATAATGGTCTTAATGCATTCTAAATATAAGAAAGGCTGAAATCATTATGCTGGATCAGACAAAAGATCCACCAGAAATATACTACTGTATACCTGGAGGCACTACCAGAAATATGAAAAAAGCTGTATTAGAGAAAATCAAAAACTCATCTTGTAAATATCCAGCTTCTCACAATGACCAGTGAAGTTCAGTTTTGGAAGCTGAGAATGGTTGGCCCTTCCAATAGCTTCAGTCTGAGTAGAAACCTTTTTGCATATTCTTCTATTATCATGAATAAGATGAGAGTCTACTATACTGAAATTGTGACGAGCACTCACCTGCTTCTTGGAGTCGGTATTATTCTCTGACACATCACCGTTGTGGTTGAATGTTTTCCTCCATTGCCAACCTCCTGTGTGACATCCCACTGCTGTGGATCGCTTGCCTTAGCACTCAGAATATTTACGCCTTTCTTCACTTTAGCCCTGTTGAGAAGGAAAGTATGTAAACATAAATAGCTTGAAATGACATACTTCTGTCCAGCACTACCCACTGCTCATTGGAACAAAGGACAGAGAATGATCAGTATCTCTTTTAAGGTCAGAAGAGGCATTTCCTCATGGTGTAACAGAAAAAGTTGGACAGATCAATGAAAACATAAGACAATTCCTAATAATATTACCAACAGAACTACACTATACCCAGGGGCGGCTCAACCCATTACGCAAAGTAAGCATTTGCAGTATAGTTGATTTTGCCCAGTAGACTATAGCTGGAGCTCTCCCAGTGCATAGAAATGATGTGCCAGGAGAGCAGGGGGAGAGTGATTTTCCTCCCCCTCCCCCCGCTCTCCTGGCGCATCATTTCTATGTGCCAGGAGAGCTCCGGGTACAGTCTACTGAAGGCCAGGTAAGTTTTCTTTACTTTTCAAAGGGCTTTGGAGGCTGTGGGGGAGGGGGTGGGTATTACCACAGTTTCTGGACTAATTTAGTCTGGACTAATCTAGTCTGGAAAACTGTGGGAATGGTGTCTGGACTGCAGTATCTTGCAGTCATCTTCCCCTATGAAGCAGTGTGTACCTTGAGATCATCCGGGGAGGCACTGTTCTATCTCCCTCCGCCGTCTCAAGCACGGTTGGTGGGGACGAGGGAGAGGGCCTTCTCGGTGGTGGCCCCTGACTCTGGAACTCCCTCCCTAGGGAGATCAGACAGGCTCCCAATTTGTCCTCTTTCTGGAGACAACTAAAAACCTGGATGTTCCGCTGTGATTTTGATTAAGCAGTCCACCAGTAATTTTCCTGTCCCTACTTTAAGTTCAGCACTTTACGTCGGCCCTCTTATTGTCTACCTCAACACTTTTGATGACAGTATTTCCAGCCTTGTCTACTTGATTGTTGCACTTCTCTTGCACTCCCTTCAGAATGTATTGTATTCAGTGAGTCTGTACCTCAGCTATGTTCTTTATTTCAGCCATATTGTTTTGTTGTTTACAGTTGTGATTGTTTTTATATCTTTAAATCTGATGTTGTTAATCTGATGCGTTTTATTTGTAATTTTTTGGCCTTGTCCCTTGTAAGCTGACCCAAGTCCCCTTGGGGAGATGGTTGGCGGGGTATAAAAATAAAGCTATTATTATTATTATTATTATTATTATTATTATTATTATTATTATTATTATTCTGCGCCTTCCAAGAAGACACGGAATAAACCCACTATCTAATTAATTCGCTACAAACCAGGGTTTTTTCTGGTTTGTGGCAAATTAATTCAAGAATTGTCCAGGACATCATCTGGACAGCCCCTTCTTTATTGTGGGAGTGACCGCAATAAACGGGCTGTCTGGATGTGCCCACAGCCATATAACCCAGAATATCAAGGCAGATAATCCACAATATCTGCTTTGAACTGGAATATCTGAGTCCACACTGCCAGATAATCCAGTTCAATATGGATTTTATACAGTTGTGTGGAAGGGGCCTCAGAGGGGGTAAAGAAGAGAGGGTGGCGCCATGGAGCTGGGCTAGACAAGGGAAAACACTGAGAACAGCTGGAAGGAGGAGGGTTGGAAGAAGAAACAAGAGAAATTATTGAGAGAAAGACTGTTGAAGAATGAGGCCAGGAGTCGACTAAAACCTTTTCAATCTTGAAGCCTCTGAACTTATCTTGGAGACAGATAAGTCATAGTTGTAGTAGAAATAACAGCTGGCAGAAAACAGAAGGCTTTGGATAAGCAGTTAGACAAGCTTGGACTGAACACTACCTCCATCTAGTGGCCTATGGTTTTATAATTTCACTAGCCATCACCTGCCATGCGTTGCTGTGGCCCAGTCTGTGTATATGTGTTTTGTGTGTGTGTATGTGTGTATATATGTGGTTTTGCACATGCATTGTAATGTATTTTTAATTTCTTGGCTTTTTTAGTCTCTTCTGCTGAGTTTTTCAGTGTTTTTATGAGTGATGGTCACTTGTTGGCCTGATAGGTCCAATGTGCAGCAGCCAGGTTACTAACAGGAGCGGTGCTCAGGGAGCTTACAACTCCTCTGCTGAATCAGCTCCACTGGCTGCCAGTTTGCTACCGGGCTCAATTCAAAGTGCTGGCTTTAGCTTATAAAGCCCTAAATGGTTCCGGCCCAGCTTATCTATCTGAACGCATCTCTTCCTACGAACCCTCCAGGAATTTGAGATCATCCAAGGAGGCCCTGCTCTCGATCCCGCCTGCTTCACAAGCATGTCTTGCGGGGACAAGAGACCGGGCCTTCTCTGTGGTGGCCCCTCAGCTGTGGAACTCCCTGCCTAGGGATATTAGATTAGCCCCTCCCTCCTGACCTTTCGGAAAAGAGTAAAAACTTGGCTCTTCGAGCAAGCATTTGGAACCTCCGAATAAATAGACAAACTTGAATTGGAAAATGACCCAGGAACGGCCCAAGACGATGGAATGGATAAGGACTTGAATGATGAGAGGATATAGTTTTTAGTTTTTAATATTGTTATTATGCACTGTCTTATGTCTAATTGCACTATAATGATTCTTTTTGTTTATCAATGTATGTATTTTTATGGCATCGAATTGTGCCGATTGTGTACGCCGCTCTGAGTCGTCTTTGGGCTGATATGAGCGGGGTAGAAATAATGCGAATAAATAAATAATAGGTGTATTGTGTCCAAATTTAGTGTCAATTCGCCCAGTGAGATTGTATTGCAAAATTTAGCAAAGTGAACAGTCTGAAGAATTATAGTGCTCCAGTCTGCATATTCATCTGGTAAGTGAGCAGTAGGACAGCTAACTTAAAAATGTGGATCAAACCAAGATTACTCCAGCCTTAATTTCAGAAGGAAATGCAACATAATCACATAGGTATACCAATTAGTTAGTCATAATGGTTACATAGAATACATTTTCTCCAAAGTTGTTTGAAGTGGACAATAATCGCTAGGATTACAAAAAGCAGGGAAGAACGAAAACCTTCTTGTAGATTTTGTGAATGCATCCGGTTGGCTATGTGTGTGTGTGCTTTCTATCCATTTCAAATGACATACTTCCTATAATTTCTCCTATGAAATGCCATATTTCCTATCATGTTCAAATACCATGACTATAGACATGATGGAAGATATAATCTGAAAGATTCGTTGGCTAGCAATATGCTATCTTTAGCTACTGAGGGTCCTTCCACACAGCTGAATAAAATCCTACATTTTCTTCTTTGAACTAGAATATATGGCAGTGTGGACTAAGAGCCCTTCCACACAGCCCTATATCCCAGAATATCAAGGCAGAATACCCCACAATAAGATAAAGGTAAAAGTTTCCTCTTGACATTGAGTCCAGCTGTGTCCGACTCTGGGGGGTGGTGCTCATTTCCATTTCTAAGCTGAAGAGCCGGTATTGCATCTGTCAAGTAGGAAATTTAGGTACCGCTTTATGCGGGGAGGCTAATTTAACTAATTTACGACTCCATAAAAACCTTCCAGCAGCATGCGTAAGAATGAGGAAGTACTCCATCAAGGACTCGGTGTCACAAGTAGACAGTGAAGCAGCAGCTACCCCTGTGGCTGGAATTGAGCATACCCTCATGAAGCTGGAAAGCTGGAATGTTAAATTGCCTCTGTGTCTGTCTTTATATGTTGTATGTAAAATAGCATTGAATGTTTGCCATGTATACTACATTGTAATCTGCCCTGAGTCCCCTGTAGGGTGGGAATGGTAGAATATAAATACTGTAAATAAATAAATAAATAAATAAGTAAATAATTGTCTATACATGCCTCCAAGGTCATGTGGCCAGCATGACTGCATGGAGTGCTGTTACCTTCCTGCCAGAGTGCTACCTATTGATCTACTCTCACATTTGCATTTTATTGAACTGCCAGGTTGGCAGAAGCTGGGGCTAACAGTGGGAACTCATCCCACTCCCTGGATTTGAACTACCAACCTTTCCGTCAGCCAGTTCAGTAGCTCAGTGGTTTAACCCGCTGTGCCACCGAGGGCTTCCCGCAATATCTTCTTTGAACTGAGTTATCTGAGTCCACACTGCCATATATTCCAGTTCAAAGCAGATAATGTGGGATTTTTTGCCTTGGTATTCTGGGATTTTATACAGCTGTGTGGAAGGGGCCTCAAAGGCAAACTCCTCTGAACAAATCTCACCAAGAACACCCAATGATAGGTTCGTCTTAGGTTTTCCATAAATTAGAAATAATCCGAAAGCACACCGGAACAACATACATGCCCAGTTGACATAATATTTTTATCAGAGGCTGATTGGTTGTTCAAGTACTAGTGGACTATCCCTGTGCAAAAACTGTAAAGTTGGGCCTTTTCAGGATTGGGCATCTACCCTCTGGAACAGTCTTCCCATATGGTACGAGAGTCAGAGACTGAATTCAATTTAAAATATCTATTAAAAACACATCTGTTTAGGCAGGCCTCCACCATCTGATAATAATTACACTTTTCTTTCTGGAGTTTTAAGTATATATATATGTGTGTGTGTGTGTCTGTATGTATAATTTTAAAACTCTTTTTGTATTTATTTTATATGATTCTAGAGAAGTATTTTAAACTAAATCCTTAAACACTTTGCCCTAAATCCTTCTGTAAGTCCTAATCAAAATATGCCCTCATCATGCAATAATTGCTTCAAGGGGTCTTATGCTAGTTAGGACTAACCAGCGGAATTCCTCAAGTGCTATATAAAAACTCTACACAGAATAAGGGAAGCCCATCTGGAGAACTCCAGGTTAAGAGAGACTAGATTAGACTGAAATTTATTAGGCTTCCCCTTTTCTTTAATTACTTTGCTGTGCTAGATAATTTTTAAGTAATTTTTTAGTTGAAAAAGGGAACATGATTCAAAGAAACACACGCACGCACACATATATAGATAGATAAGGTTTCCACTTGACAGTAAGTCTAGCCGTGTCTAACTCTGGGATGTGGTGCTCATCTCCATTTCTAAGCTGAAGAGCTGCTGTTGTCCATAGAC